CCCAGGTAGTTTTTCTGTTCTGCACTGACCATTTTTAACCCTCGCCCGCACATGGGGAGGGGGTTGCCACCCCCCTCAGGTAGTTTTTCTGCTCTGCACTCAACATTTTTAGAGCTAGAAGCCTGATTTTTCGTATAGCTGCTCCTCTATCCTTTCTTGATGTCCACTAAAAATTTCAAGTTTCTGTGTTTTTTTTTGTTTGTTTCGGAGGTATGACTTTGTTCTCCAGGTCATGTCATGACCCAAATGACAAATACCTACCTAATATCTTGCGCTGACTATGGGTCTTGTGAGCTTTTGACACCTTGATTTCGGCCTTTTTTGCCACTCTTACCTCCCACCTATCATGGAACATGTTGTTCGACGATGTACAGATGTCAACGTCAGGGTCAAGGTCAACCTAGGTCATCTAAATCATTGCGTCTTAGGCAAGCTGAATTTACTTTTCGTGAAGTTTCTTTGACTGTATTTTTGGTAAAGCCTTCTCATTTCATGATCTCATGTAATATGGACACATAAACAATCGATGTACACATCAGTATACACACAGACACACACAGACATAGAAACACATATCACTGACCTTGACATAACTTGACCTGACATGACCTCAGCAGCAAAAACCTGATCGGATAATGTGACAAAGAGGTTCTAGCTGGCTTGGCACCACAAAACGGCATCGTCATAGGTATATGATGAGCAGCGCACTTGATATCTAACGTTGACCCAAAACAGCAACATTTTTTAGTATGACCTGACCTGGAAGGTCAATGACTGACCTGAGAAGGTAACACTGGGTATCATTGGATTCGTCTCTTCCCAAAGAATCTTTCTGGTCTTCACCGCGAAGCTCTCCAACAGGAACGAAATGGCGGGGGGTTGGCATCCCTTCCCCCCCCCCCCCATGTGCGTTCTGGGATGGGAAAATGGCATGTGCGGGCGAGGGTTAAAGCTAGAAGCCTAATTTTTCGTATAGCTGCTCCTTATTCCCTTCTCAGCGTCCTCTGAAAGTGTCAGGTTTCTGTGGTTTTTGGTTTATGAGATATGACCTTTTTTTTAGGTCGTGTCATGACCCTAATGGCCAAAACTTAACCCGCGCACCGACGGGGGGGGCGGATATCCGCCCCCCCTGAGGTTTTTCGCGGATAGCGGGAAAACCGCGGCGCGTAGCGCCGCGAAATTTGGTATGACTATTCTCTCATCAATTTTACACATGGTGTGCAAGTTTGAACCTCCTAACTTTTAAGGTCAGGTCACCAGGTCACTTTGAATGACCCAACCTCAAGTCACTTTTTTGCAACTTTGTCACCGTGCCAGAGCTACAGTAGATGTCGGAGGCCTTTGAAAGTCGCAGGATGTTATTAGGTCATTAGTAGCTACAATTTGTATATCTCGGAATTTTGATGTCGGTGACCTAAGGTCAGGTCAATTTCGCGACTTCCCCATTATAAGTCAATGGGGGAAAAATCAACTCCCTGTTTTTACCACTAAAACGGGTCGGAATGGCCCCATATACCATACATGACTTCACATACGATCAACCTTCACTACCTTGAGGTCTGTTTTGCTGTTGGGCAGCTGTAAGGTCATGTGACGTCATCAAAGGTCACCAAAGGTTTTTTGCCAATAACTCCTTACAGGAACAAGATACAGCCGCGCGGATGGTCTCATTGTGTTCAGCTCGTCAAGACGCATCGAATGATATACATGATGACCTCGAGGTCACGTGACCTGAGGTCAACCTTTGACCTTGACCTTTCGAGGTCAACATATATATCATTCGATGCGGATTGACGAGAGGATCACGATGATGCCCTTAGTTTGTTCCTATCTTGACTACTTCGAAAGTTATTCGAGAAAAACCCTCTCCATATCTAGCGCCGCCATTTTGACTTTTTCGACCCCTGTGACGTCATCTTTGACCTGACCTGAAAATGACCTTTGTAAAAATTGTAGACCTTGTCCGTGCGTATCCGATGCCGTTTACCGCTTGTCGCTATCTTGCTTCGTTCTCGAGATCTCAGGGGGGGGCGGTCATCCGCCCCCCCCCCCCCCGTCGGTACTAAGTTGGCGCAGACCCCCGTCGGTGCGCGGGTTAATATCTTGCGTTAGCTATGGTCTTGTGAGCTTTTGACACCTTGATTTCTGTATGTTTTTGCTAGTCTTACCTCCCACCTATCATGGAACATGCTATTCGAAGTTGTGCAGATGTCAGGGTCAGGGTCAAGGTCAACCTAGTTCATCAAAAAACATTGCATTTTAGGCTTGCTAAATTTACTTTTCGTGAAAGTTTTTCGACTGAATTTTTGGTAAAAGCTTCTCAGATCATGATCTCATGTAATTGGGACACACAAACCAATCGGTGCACACATCAGTATACACACAGACACACACAGACATACAAACTCATATCGTTGACAATGACCTAGCTTGACCTGAAATGACCACAGCCGGTAAAAACCTAGACGTTCCCCATGTGCGTTTTAGGATGGGAAAATGGCATGTGCCGGGCGAGGGTTAACCCGCGCGGGGCTGGGGGAGGTAAATTTTACCCTCCTCGCGAATTTTTGCAATATCTCAAAAACGGCGGCGCGCAGCGCCGCCAAACTTTTAGTACCTTTTCTTACATCAATTTGACACGTTCTCTGAAAATTTGAGCAAAATCCGTCGGAAAATGTTTGAGAAATTGACGTTTTAGTGACGTCATGTTCGCCATTTTCGCCTCAAAAACGACAAAATTTCAAACGCCGCTAATATCTTCATTTTTAAAGGAATCAAGACGTAACAAAAAAGGTTATACGTAATACTATTTTGTCTATCAAATGGTTATCTCGGTTTTTGAAAATTTTGGATTTTGGCCCAAATTTTTTTTTCAAAAAACTGACTTTTTTGGGAAAATTATTATAAAATCCAAAATTTTGAGTGTATCGAAAAAAACGGAATATATGTCAGAGAAGTGGTCTATGTGCACCTCTATACCAATTTTTAGAAGAATCTATTCAAAAATGTGGGAGTTATTCAAAATTTTATGACGTAACGACACACAAAAATTTTGAAAAATGATTTTTTTTTTTAGTTCTAGACCTCGTACGGAAACAAAAATAGCACCATTCGATTCGCCGTGAAAAACTGCATCAGATAGACACCTTTTTAGGCCTTAACAACCAACTTCAAAATTTGACCTCACTTGACCTGACCTTGACCTGACTTCGACCTGAAATTCATCCAGAGGTGGTCCATATCACTTATTGAGTGTGCCTATTGAATTCTATGAGTAAAATGACCCATAAAACATGTGTCGCACATGCCCTTTTCTATATTTTGTTTTTGGCGACCTGACCTGACCTGACCTTGACCTTGACCTCTGAATGATATTGTATGCAAGGAATATTGTCTTGGTAGCCTAAGAACACGTTTTGGGCAATCAGTCTCAGTCCATGACTCCATTCTTCGGCAACTACGGTGCAAGGCCGATACTGTAGACACTTGCAATTTGTACCCTTGACCTGACCTTGACCTTGACCTCAAACTTTAAATTAAGTACATGTTTTTAGTTGTTCGTGATAAGATCTTTCGATTGGCGTTTGAATTTTCCAAATCGGACCATTAGTTCGGGAGATAACAGGGGGGGGGGTAAAATTTACCCTCCCCCAGCCCCGCGCGTTCGGCTGGAGACCCCAGCCCCGCGCGGGTTAAAGTCGGGTACCATTATCTTCCTCTTTTGAACAGATACATGTCAACTAGGGGTCAAACGTGATGGTGAGTCATAGGTACCTCGGCTCACTTACCGTCGAAGGATGCTCAAAGTGATGAACCGGCAAGGTTAATGGCCATAAAGAAATGGGAAATTCTCAAATCTGACCTCATTGATAATTTTATACATAGGGTAGCCTGGGGCAAGACGCCCCAGATAATTTATTTTGCTACATAACTTTTGTCCCACATCACCTGGAAGGCCAAATTTGTGCTCAATGCGTTATTTGGACATTTTACTTTAAATTCCACACCTCAAATTCATTAACTTATGATCGGACTCCTAGCTAGGAAGTGATTTGTGAAGCAACTGCAAATGGGGCATTTTGCCCCAACCCCAGGGCAAAACGCCCCACGGCCTGGGGCAAGAAGCCCCATACTCTAGATTAAAGATTAAACATGCTAGTTGACTTAAATCTTATATGAGAGGTCTGTTAGACCTTGGGAAGCACGGCACTGAAGTTAGCTTCTTCCATCCTATCAGGTGTTCAGCTATGACACTATTGTATGAGCAGGTTTTTTACCTGCCTCATAAGGCCAAATAATAAATTATTGCAATGGAAATGTTAACAAAATACTTCCTTTGCCATCCAGTTGCTGAGAAAAGTAGATATAAATGCATAGACACTTACTGTTAGCCAGCTACCGAACATTAGGAAGTGGGTAGTCCGAACAACACATGAGGTAAAACGCCCCATGGGGCGTTTTGCCCCGCGACCTACTGGGGCGTTTTACCCCATCACGTAGTTCGGTCAGAGAACACCGCCTTGCACTCCAGCAAGGCATAATTTAACACGAACCAACCCGGCATTATAAGCGTTAGACAAAGTTGTTCAAAATACATAAAAGTCGTTAACCTGATGTGGACCATAAAAGAACGCCATGATGCATAAGCTGACAACAAAACATAAAAATCACCCCAAAAACACATCTTTGGCTATATCTCCCTAAAGAGTCATCACAATTTATTTCCAGTCTGCTCATATAATGATCATATAGTGCACGTGTTATAGAAGAGATGATGTTTCTCCAGAACCTTGCCAGTTCCGAGAAACATCGGTGAGGCGTTTTACCTCGGCGGGGCGACTTGCCCCGGTCTACCCTACATGTTTGACTCTGCAGCGGTCTCTTTTACCTTGCACATTTATTTACTCATCGAATGGAGGATATGAGGACTGTGATACACTGGTCTATCAGGATTCATTTCTGATAAAAAAAACTGTCGATTGAATGACTTTGTCTCTTGAGACGTAATGACCAGGCACTTCAGGACAATCTACTCCGCTGGTATCGGAGCCGGTCACCCGATGTCAATATCGGTTCGGGGCCCTCCATCGCGCCGCCCCTCCCCGCTGGCCGGGGAGACGTCCTCCGCGCGTACTCGGGCGTCTGGCCTGGCGTCACTCGTCAGTGTGCCACCGGCGCAGGTCCCGTCAGCACCGTTCCAGCGGCCTCCCGCAGACAGAGCGACCAGCGGCGAGCCAGCGCACACCGGTGAGAACGCTGCTCGTCTGCAGGCATATAGTGCGGAATTGAAACGGGCACTGGCACCGTTCTGGTTCCGTCGTTTCCATCCTCAGGATACTGAAATCCTTCTCCTCGACGCCGCAACCCCCACTCCGGGCTGGAGAGGCACCTTTATCTCATGCGGGGTGGTCCCTTGGAGCGGCACCGCTGCTCCCGAGGGAGCGCACCCCGTAGCAGGGGGCAGAGAGTGCTGGGGAGGGGGGGGGCTGGTCGGCCTGTCCATTTGGACGGGCTCAGCCCCGGTGACTCTCTGGCGTGTCTGCCCAGACCAAAGTCTCCCCCTAATTCCTGCATCCTTCAGGCTCTGAAATGGTCTTGTCAGGTCGAAAGGGCCTAACCCAACAAAACAAAACAAAAACGGGCACTTTGCTATATATGACATTTGGTAGCATTTTAATGATAAAGCGGTTAGCGATTGTATGAATGTACGCCGTATATCCGTAATCCGAGTCAATGAAACGATCCCGGGAAACGTCACTTTACTACGGACTGAAATGCGCAAAAATGCCGTTATGTTCAATGCTTCAAGCCGGACTATAAATTGCAATGTTGCTTTATATAAGCACCTTTTGAGAAAGGTAGGTACCCAGTCAGGAATCAAAATAAATTACATGAAAGAAATGCAGCCAAAGAAACTATTAAAAACACATTGTTTCAATTCACATGAACGATGAGCTGCTGACATTGCCATTGCTGCCAAGCTCTCGGAAAATCAAATAATACAATTCAGCTTACATGCACATGGATTGGAATTTGGAAACCAAATACCGGGTAGACAAGTTGGCCAGCCATCCGAGTATTTTTGTTTAAGGCCGACCTGAGCTGGGATACCCTAATTGCCAAACGGCACTCATATTTCCACTGTACGATATGCTGGCAAGCCGTGTACAGCTGAGCCCACACAACCGACTGATGTGGCCTATTGCATAATACTTGGGAATATAAAAGACAACATTGCGCTTCTTTTAGGGCTAGGTATCTGGCAGACTTTGTAGATCACCACCAGTTCGAGAAGTAAATCTTAAACAAATTGTAGGTGCCGGTTTTTCTCCTGATTAAATTCTTCGCTTCGGTATATGTACAGTCCACAGCAGAAGTAATGTGGGGTTTCAGTCATGGGTATGTTCTGCTTCTGAAGCTTAGGAACGATTAGCCAGACTACAATGAAACTTTGAATGTAGCTTATATGTATCGTCACCCTTGCAACTGCAACTTTAGCTATTGACATCTTCTTTTTGATCACTCTGCATTAAACAATCGCCAGTCAAAGCCAACCGTTGAGATTGGTAAAACCCTACATTACTTTAGCGGTGGGCTGTACTTAGGTAATGGGGTGTAATACAAGTACCAAAAAACTGTATATAAGTAAAAGAGAGGATCATTCTAAGTAACCGCTAACCCGCGCCCCACTGGGGGGGGGGCTATTCATAGCCCCCCTCCCGTTTTTCTGCAATAACTTCCAAACCCCTTGACGTATCGACGCCAAACTTTTAGTACCTTCGGCTGCATCAATTTGACACCTTGTGTCAAAATATGAACTTCGTAGCTACCATATGTCGGCCGGAAATGACGTCAGAGTGACGTCATGTTCGGCCGATTTCGACGCAAAACATTGAACCACGGCAATCGCTCCCAAGAACTCAGTTTTGAAGCTAGATCCAATTTCTTTGCATGAGAGGACTCACAATAGACTGTGCTATCAAACTGATATCTCGGATTTTCGAAATTTTGAAAATTTTGAAAATTTGATATAATAAAACTCAAAGTTTATATTTTTACATTGTTTTCAATTTTTTTATTTTTCGAAAAAAACCGGAAATATGTGATAGAACGCATTATTATGACCAACTCTAGCAAATTTCGGCTAAATATCTTCAAAAATGGCCAAGTTATACGCATTATTGCAAAAAATCACAATTATTATTTTTTTCAAATCAATTTTCAGCACGTATTTGACATCGTACGCCAATATAAATAGCACCATCGTGTTTCTGAGCTTAAACTACATCCAATAGACACCTTTTTTGTTGAAAAATTTTAACTTCAAAATTTGACCTTTTTTTACCTGAAAGTGATCTGACCTAAGCTAAATTCGACTCAAAATGACCTCGAATGACACAGACGACATCAAATTCGAAATCTTTGGCCTAAATGGACCATAAAACATGTGTCACGTGACCGAAGCATGATATAATATTTTCATGACCTCTGATGACCTGACCTTGACCTGAAAATCAAAGTACAAGTTTGGTACCCTTAGGGTATCTAGAGCATCTGTTCACGAGTGTGTGAACCAAAAATGAGCCTGATCTGACTCGTAAGACGGCGGCCAGAGCCCAAAACGTGAACAAGCCAAAATGCTAATAATTTTTACTTTGACCTGACCTGTGACGTCATCGGTGACCTCGAGGTCAATGAAATTATGTTTCGTTCGACAGTTTTTCCGGGGCTATCAGACGCCGTTTGAATTTTGACGATCGGCCCAGTAGTTTCGGAGTTAGGAGGGGGGGCTATGAAGACCCCCCCCCCCCAGCAGGGCGTGTTATACGCAGACCCCAGTGGGGCGCGGGCTAAGCGAGAGAGTAGAAGACAAGTAAACATCATTGGCTCAGCTGTGATAGAAGCCTATCTGGAAGTTATACGTTGTTGGATATTTCATTGGCGCACCTTTCTCACCCCCCCCCCCCCCAACTCCTCCTCACCACACCTCCTATCCTATCCAGCTCCCCACCGCGGGTGGTTGGTGGGCAGTGGGTATACCTGGGCTGGACCATCTCCGCTGGACGGTCGTCAAGTTACATGTAAGTGAATCCTAATCTATAATCTAAGATTCGGAATCAGGTGAGCCCCTACGATTTGGACCAAACCTGGTCAGTGGATAGTACGTAACGTCCTGATTACGATGAACCAAAATCTAAGCTCGGCCCGCCATATTTACGAAGTTACGGATGTTTGAATTTCAAGGTCATTCGGGAGAGCCCCTACGATTTCCGTCAAAATTTGTGTACGGACACTCTAGATGCTCCTCATTACGAATATCACAAAATTTAAGCTCGGCCCGCCATATTTACGAAGTTACGGAGGTTTGAATTTCAAGGTCATTTGGGTGAGCCCCTGCGATTTCCGTCAAAATTGGTATACGGACATATTACATCCTCCTCATTACAAATATCATAAAAGTTAAGCTCGGCCCGCCATATTTTTCAAATTACGGAGACACAAAGTTACGGAATTTCAAGGTCATTCGGAGAGCCCCTCCAATTTTTGTCAAAATTTGTATGCGGACACATTACATGCTCCTCATTACGAATATCGTAAAAGCTAAGCTCGGCCCGCACTATTTCAAAAGTTAATGAAGTTTGAAACTCACTGAAATTCAAACCTCAGTAACTTTAAAAATAGTGCGGGCCGAGCCTAATTTTTATGATATTCGTAATGAGGAGCATGTAGTGTGTCCGCATACAAATTTTGACGAAAATCGGAGGGGCTCTCCGAATGACCTTGAAATTCCGTAACTTTGTGACTCCGTAACTTGAAAAATATGGCGGGCCGAGATTAACTTTTATGATATTTGAAATGAGGAGGATGTAATATGTCCGTGTACCAATTTTGACGGAAATCGCAGGGGCTCACCCAAATGACCTTGAAATTCAAACCACCGTAACCTCGTAAATATGGCGGGCCGAGCTTAAATTTTGTGATATTCGTAATGAGGAGCATCTAGAGTGTCCGTACACAAATTTTGACGGAAATCGTAGGGGCTCTCCCGAATGACCTTGAAATTCAAACATCCGTTACTTCGTAAATATGGCGGGCCGAGCTTAGATTTTGGGTGCATCATAATCAGGACGTTACGTACTATCCACTGACCAAGTTTGGTTCAAATCGTAGGGGCTCACCGGATTCCGAATCTTAGATTATAGATTAGGATTCACTTACATCTAACTTGACGACCGTCTCCGCTGGGGCTGCAGAAATCCATAGAGATGGAGCTAGTCACCGGTCCGACACTGCAGCTCATCGCGCACATATGGGGATTAACGCCAGCTTACCGCGCTGACGGTCTGACATGTGTGCGGGTGGTTCTACTTGGAAATCGACTTACCACCAGCGCTCCGACGTAACTGAGAAATGTGCAATTGTGTATAGTGGTTATGTCAGATGTGACGTGTTTTTTTTTCAGCAAAGGCATTGTGGGTCGCAGACGTTTAGCAGAGGACGGGGAGCACCATCCCTATTTCGTGGAGAGGAAAACTATTAGCGAGAAACGACTGTTCGAAGCTCGTGAGGAGGTCTGTCTATTTAGCGCCGGTCGTTTTTTATTAGGTCAAAAATAACATAGGCAGATGTCGTCAAAGGTAAAATTATTTTGATTTCACTATAATGACAAACAATACTTCACAAACGGCGGCGTAGCTCGTAAAATAAAAGAGAAATTGGAAAAATACGTAAAAGCAATCGTTGAGTGAGCTGTTGAATGACCTCTCAAATTAAACTAGATGTAACGCTTTATTCCAAGGAGGTCATAGAAGGGCATACTGATTTATTTTAGTCACATTCTATCTATAGTCGAGTGAGTCCGCGCTGCAGATAGGTAGGTACTTACCTTGATGGCCGTCAGATGTGTATTCGTGTGTTCCGCTCGCAGAGAGCCCCCCGCACTGCTCGGACCGTCGAGCCGCCGGAGCCGCCGCCATCGGTGCCTGGGTCAGCCGCAGCCCGCCGATCATGGAGCAGTCCGAGATCGGGGTCAGCCGCAGCGCGCCGGTCATGGAGCAGTCCGAGATCGGCCACCTGCGAGACGTCTGGCAGCTCGTCGAGCCCGACAAGGTCAACCACGGCGTGGAAATCCTCATCAGGTCAGTGGCGGCCGGAATGAGAGCATCGGGTTATCTTTTACATAGTTAACCATCCTGTATAGATAAATACAATGACCCTCCAAACACTAAAGCAGCACATACAGTTGCACATATTTTCACATTCCAAGTAGCTAGCACAATCAAAGGTCTGTTTCCATTAGTTAAAGCGTTATTTGTTGGAATTATGTTTTTTCTAAAAGTAATTCGTTGCAGAGAGATTAAATCATTCACATTATTCCAGTTCCTAATGAGTCGTTTTCGCCCGTTGTTGGGGCGAAAATGACTCATTAGGAACTGGACGCCCGTTTGGCGTTAAAACGCCCGTTAAATGGCGATTACTGATCATCGATGCAAGTTCAGGCATAATGTACATTGTACATACTTATCCTATGTACATCTACATACCTACTACGTAGTATGTAAATGAGGCGTCCTCCCAATAGTTCTAGTAGATAGCTAAAATTGTGCATACTAGTGAGCCTGACTTGCTATTGTTAGACGGTGGTATTTATGATGCGATTGATTGTAAGTGAATAAAACGTGTAAATGAAGACACGAGGTGTTCGTCAAAGTTGCATTTAGTTTATTGAACCCACCACCAACGTTACAAAATCGACTAAGCCCGAATTGCCGACCAAAGGCTGAACTGGCGGTGCTCAGGCACGCGGAATTTCACTCCGTCATAATAAATGCGGAAATGATGACGTGGAAAAATATTTTTTGGATAGAAGCTCAACAAAGCGATTCCTAGACACAATGCATTATTTTTATTGGCTTCATCTAGCTCTGTCGATTCAGAGACCACAGCGGGGTGGATGAATGAGAGGTATTTCGTCAGCCGGCGCTCTTTATATAGCAGCCGCGCGGTACATCGGCCTGAGATATTGTCCGGTAGGCCCCTGCAGCGGTGACCTCAGAGTCCGCGCCGGCGATGGATCAGAGCGGCGCGCCGGCACGTTCAGAGGCGCTAATGCGTGGTGACGTCGGCCGGCGGCCGGCGGCGCCTCCTTGTTCTTCGAGATCGCCAAGGACGGGCCGGAAGGGGGCGGCGCCCGCCCTGACCCGGCCGCCGCGCCGGTCCAATGTGCGATCACTTCCGCCGGTACTGTCACCAAGACCTGCGAACGCCCAGTCACTTGGTAGGGAGTCGGGCGGCCGCGATGACTCGGCATGTGTCGGCCGCAGCCGTTCGGAAAACTGGGGCGGCGCTGCCACTGCACGAGCGTCCTGACAAAGTTCATATTCATCATTAGATGGAAAAATTTAACTGGTTAGGGCGGGACGGATTATGTCCCGTTTAGTTTGCACGGTAATCCGCATGGCAACCCAAAAGTGAAATTCATGTGGGTGAGCTAACGCCGTTAGTAATCGCGGACCGCGGCCCGCCCCGCATGACATAGTCAGGCGCCCGCGGTCCTTTCCATAGCATCCCCAAAGGGCGATGATGGCCCAGCTGAGGCTGAAAGGGAACTGTCAAAATCAGAAAGCATGCAATGGTCCAACTCCTTTCCTTGCGCTGTGTAAAGGACGTAACACTAGAATCTGACTCTAGAGTGGTCATGGTCCCCATGGGTTGCGGTGGCTGTCAGTACCAAAAGGTGTGTCCCCTGCAGCCGCTGACACCTCGTGGAATGGGATCCGGTGGAGCCGTCTCACCTGGAGCGCCGCAGCCAGGGTCGCAAGGGAAGCGCGGCCCAGGGTGGGGCCGTGTGACAGGCCGGGTCAGGCCTGGGCAGTCAGCTCGGGGTCAGGGAAGAGCGCGGCCGGGTTCAGGGAGCAGTGTGGGCAGGACGGTGTGTGACAGGCCGTGGCCCTGTGCCCAAACTAACCCGCGGCGTAAATCTCCCGCCGTCTCCCGCTGCCATCTCTGCACCTTTCACTGACACGGCGGGACGCCGAACACACTTTGTGCTGACGGCTGACAGCCCACGGGGGGTTGAGGGTACCCGGGGGCGGGGGGGGGGCTGACGGTCCACTGTGAGTGGAGGACAAGGATGCCTTTAGATGTAGGATATGCATTTCCCCTTTTTCTGAGGCCGATGACTGTTGTATTCTGAAGAAACATGTCGTATGATGAAAACGTCAACAAGACACCGGTTCCTGCAAATGCCGTCATGGTTAAATAGTCGTAAATTATACGAGCCGTGACCAAACCTTATTCTTGTTACATGCTGCTGACTCGTGTTACGTGGTCTGCCGTCTGCTAAGGAAACTGGCCTCTCAGCTCCAGGAGCGTTAACCCTATTCCTGGCGGGGGGGGCTCAGGAGCCCCCCTGAGGTTTTTTGGGTATTTCTCCCAAACGCTTTGAGCTAGGAAGCTCAAATTTTCTGACTTTTCCTAAAAGGCTTTTACGCAACATTTCTGAAAATTGTGAGTTGATCTGACCTCAGGTCAGGTCACCAGAGGCGGTTTGGTGACCCTACCTCAGAAAAGTTTGCAATCATGCCAGAGCTAGAGTTTTTGACCGATCAATTTCTTCTCTTCAGGCTTTAGTTAGGGTACCAGTATGTGCAATTTGTATATCTCAGAATTTTCATATCTGTGACCTGAGGTCAGGCCAGACTCGTGACCTTTACATTGCAAGCCTATGGGAAAATATTGAAACGCCTCCTGCTTCGTGTAAACGAGTCAAAACCACCCAATTCTTTCAGTATTATGGAAGATTATCTCATCGGTGATGATCCTGGTGCCGCTAATTGACAGGGGCACGGGCAAAGGTCATCTGAGGTCATGTGACGTCATAAGTCGTTTTTCTGTCAATAAATCACGACATTATGGTGCTAAAGACTTGTAAGTGGTACCACACTGCTCGCCTGGTCAAGGCGCGTCGTTTGGTATGCAGCATGACCATACCCCACAACCTCATTGATGAATGACCTGACCTTGACCTCAGGTCAAATTTCAAATTGACCTGTGAAGGTCATCACATACTTATTTCGCATCGCCTCGGCGAGAGCAACAAAAAATGTATTGGTTTTATGTCTCTATGTTTCTTAGTTTAAAAGTTATATAGTTAACTAATTCCAAAACATTTTATCGTTGATGACCTCTGGTGACCTCAATATTGACCTGACCTGAAAGTGTTTTATGTAAAAGTTGTAGATCTTTAAACGACCTATCAAACGCCGTTCGCCGTTTGTCGCTGCGATGTGTAGTTTTTGAGATCTGAAGGGGGGCCGAATCGGCCCCCCCCCCCCACGCCAGTTTCTTGTCCCGGCGGAGCCCTCCAGGAATAGGGTTAATCCGTTCCCTCTGAGATACGAGGACATGCAATGCTATGATTATTCCGATTGACGGGAGCATTATCCTGCTCAGCTTCCGTTTTATGTCTGATCAACTCAAAATCCATTCAACAGGCCTCAGATCGGAGTCCAGAACGTCTTAAATTGAACGATCCTTAGATGGTCACTTTAAACGGCGTTAAGATTACGACTTACAGAATGTGATCAGCTTCTCTTCTTTAAACATTGTCTTCAAAAGATCTACAGGGTGTTTCACAATTAACCCTCGCCCCGTTGGGGGGGGCCATTTTGGCCCCCCCCCCTGTGGTTTTTCCTGAATAGCAAGAAAACAGCGGCGCGCAGCGCCGCCAAATTTTCAGTACCTTCCCGGGCATCAATTTGACACCTTCACACCAAATTTCAAGTCTTAGGTCACCTTAGGTCAGGAGTTATTGAGGTCAAACTAAGGTCATGTTCGAGCGAAAATGAGCAAAAAAACATGCGATCTTGAAACGCTCACCAAATCTACAGTTATCAATCAATGTCAAAGTTCTTTATATGGTCTAGTAGACAAAAAACGGCGCTACAAAACTGCTATCTCGGATTTTCAAAATTTTGGGTTTTTGACCCCAAAAAATTCAAAAAATTGTTTTTTTTAGAAAAACTAAAAAAAAAATCCAAAATTTTTTTTCAGAATTTCGAAAAAATGGAATATATGTGATGGTCCCTGCGCTCTTCTATATACATACCAAATTTCAGATCGATATCTCGTTTTTTGGCCAAGTTATAGCGAAAAAACTGTTCAAAAATGATGACGTCAAATTTTTGAACTCAATTTTTAGCGATTCTAGACCACGTACGGCAAAACAAAGACCACCATTGAACTCCCCGTGACGAGCTGCATCGATTCGATACCCATTTTATGCAAAAATATTAACTTTGAAATTTGACCTAATTTGACCTGACTTTGACCTGACCTTGACCTGACCTTGACCAAAACGTGACCTAAGCTGGCCCCAAAGGCTGCCTGACCCACATAATCGCATTTGTCATGTAAAATGGGCCATAAAACATGTATCACACGACACTTTCATATTGTGACCCCCCAGTGACCTGACCTCTGTGACCTGACCTGGTATCAGTGACCTCAAATAGCAAAATATGTGTTTGAATAACATTTCCCCATCGATGATTTTCAAGGAAATGCATTTTACCCGATTTTACAACGCATTTCTTGAAATGCCTGTAAACGGTGAAAATTGGACCTTTGACCTGACCTGTGACGTCATCGGTTTGACCTGGGTCAATAAAATTGGGTCACAGGGTAGTACCCTGATGGGGCTATCCAGCACCGTTTGCCGCTTGTCGCTAAGTTGCGTGGTTCTCGAGATCTTAGGGGGGGGCCAAAATGGCCCCCCCCAACGGGGCGCGTTGCTCGGCAGAGCCCAACGGGGCGCAGGTTAACGTTACAAGATCAATGCTCAATATCTCTGGGCATAATGACTTTATTTCCGCCAAAATTGCACCATATGCACCCAAAACCACAGAGACCAACATCCTTAAGTCCTACTCGAAGTGGCCGCCTCCAGCCTTCACAGCGGCAGCCAACCGTCTCCTGAAGTCACGGACTGCGGCACGCACAAACGCGTCGGGGATCTTCTGCCAGGCGCTGATCAGAGATTGCTTGAGATCGTCGATCTTCTTGTGCGGTTTGGAGCAGGCTTCCTTCTCGAGCACGGACCACATCGTGTAATCCATCGGATTCAGATCTGGGGATGATGGGGGCCACTGGTCCTTGGTGATGAAGCCTGGGCAGTTGTCTTCGCACCACTGTTGGGTGACGCGCGCGGTGTGGCTTGTTGCGCCGTCCTGCTGAAAAGTCCAGCCCTTGTCTCCGTACGTCTTCTTGGCCCACGGCTTCGGCGTCTGTTCAAGGATGGTCTCGATGTAGGTTTCTTTGTTGATTTTTACGCCCTCGGGCACAAAAACCAACGGCGACTTGCCGGCCTGGCTGACGGCCGCCCAGACCATCACTGAAGCGGGTTTCTGAGTCCGGAAGACTCGGAAGTCCGGAAGACCCGGAAGGTCTGTGCCCCCTGGCGACCGACAGCTGTTGCGGAGTTTCATGCACTAGTGCCCCCGATCCGCATCGCGGCGGGCCGCAGGGGGGCACGCGTTAATCCACCCACACATCCCAGCCGCCAGGTCGGCTCGCCGGCCGGCACGCAAGTCACCTTTCTGACACGAGGTAGGAAATGACGTCATTGCCATTGAAGCCTGTGCGTTGAAGACTTGAAATTCATACAGGAGGTCGTAATAGATACCTGTTGACTACACCACGCAGCCATGTACAGCCGTCTTCAAACAGGTCCGCGAGCAACAAGCTTATCACACAGGCTCTAATCCTGATATTCGAGATAATCGCAGACTCTGACCTCATTTGGATCAGTCTTTCATCTGCTACACCCATTATCTGTCCAAAGGGCATTCAAAATGCAATTAACCAGGACCAGAATTATGTGCTCTTTCCAATGGTGTATTGTGTTTTCAGAAAAACCACCTTTAAGTGCACCAAAATGGAGTGGGAACTCTTGTAACGGTAATTAAGAAACACCCTGTAGCTGCTTTATGAAGTGACAAAACAGAAATGCACAAGCCATGCAATAGCAGCTAATGGTTTTAATATAGCAATCGTTCAACTGTTTTTGTTTATAAATTTGCTTTGCTAGGCGCCGCTTCCATGCAGCGTTCCACCCCACGTCCGCCTCCTCTGCAGGCTGTTCGACCGTTTCCCGGAGACCAAGGCGAAGTTCAAGCGTCTGAACACGAGCAGTGCCGAGGCGATGCGCCAGTCGGCGCGGGTGCGCGCGCACGCCGGCCGCGTGCTCGTCTCGCTGGGCTCGGTGATCGCCAGCCTGGAGGACGCCGAAATGGTGGACGAGACCATCTTCCTGCTGGGGGATAGTCACAACCGGCGCGGCGTCACACCCGACGACTTCCAGGTCAGATGCCCGAACGGTTGGAACTTCATATAGGTATGTACAGTGGATCTATTTAAGATCTCCAGAGCCACCACGTGGCGCTACGGTCGGGGTAGGGCGAGTCCAAATCCCGAGGGAAGTGAGGTCACCGGTCATTGTGGGGGAAGGAGGGAGGGGGAGTGACGCGGTATCACGGCGCATGTGGCGTGCGTAGCGCCGGGAGTGGGCCGCCCAGGGCCGCCCGCCACTGCGCCGAGGCTGAGGGGAGGGGATGACGGTTGCGGGTGCGTTCACTCCGGTATGGTGGTATCCTGTTCATGTGGAGCCGGCAAGAATGCGACTGAAGGGGATCATTATCTCAAACAAACGGCCAAGCCAGAGGCAGCGCCAGTTCCAGCCAAAATGTTGAACAATGATAATTGAAATCTAGGACGTATTCATAGCATCCAACTATTCAGTCGATAGTTCTATGATGTTTTTCATGATGCATGATGAGGCTTTTCTAAACTGTTATTTGAGTTACATATTTTTCATTTGGCACGTTCAGTTTTGGCGGGGTTTATCGGGTCGAAAAGAATCAGAAAAGAAAAAAGAGTTGAAATGGCTCCAGACAAATTACCAAAAATATTTCCTTAAAAAAAATGGATCTTAGCTAAACATTTATAACCCATAGTTATGACTTTTGGAGAGGATATTGGGGAAAGATATTGGGGAAAGATGTCATCGTGCTTTTCTGTGTTGCAGTAGAAGGAAAGGTTTGGTTCGTGTCTAGATAAAACCAGACCCGGGAGTGGGGCTCGAACTCACGACATCGCATTCAGCTCACAGGTTACCCAACCTCAACGCTACGAGCACCTATCGCCGGCCTGCGCAGCCTGCTCAGTGTTTCGGCTAAAGTTCGACCAAAGTGTCTGACATCTGTCAATGTCACGAGGCGAAAGAAACCCCAAGGTAAATGTCCGTCCCGGTAGCTCGGTCGGTAGAGCGTTGGACTCCATGTACCATGTGGTGAGAGCGCACGTCCCGATTGCAAAAGTCCGGGTTCGAAACGCGACGTGTGCTTGACGTTTTTAAGCCTCCTGACGGGTATGGTTGTTATTGGTGGCAGGCCGCTGCCAGGCGAAGTCAGTGAGGGGACCGGCCGTGCGCGGCTATGTGCGCACGTTGCAAATTTGGACTCTAAATTCTGCCATAGACCAGGAATTGCTTACCCGGAGGGTAGAGGGCAGGTTCAACGCAACAAGCTCAGCTTAGCGGGGACTCTGTCCTTGTGATTCCTTTCATTCAGAAGGTCTGGGCCAAATTTATACTAAAAAAGGAGGAGCCGAACCAGGTTGGGCCGGGTTGAACCCGGTTGGACCGGTGTCTTACACGTTATCATGGTCAGACAAAACAGAGGCTAATATCGGGTCAAATATGTTTGTTGACTGATATAAGGTATTGCTTTTTAGCTTACACGCATAATAACTTTTAGCTTCTTTAACTCGAGACTTCATGCACAAAAATGTGGCATTCGTCCACTTTTCCTCATCTTCTCTTAGCGACTTGATTTGACATTAAAGGCCCATCTTACCAGCAAAAAAAAAAATCACCTGCTGATAATTATTTGCCCAAGGGCGCTCTACGCAAGAAACGCCAGCCGGTCAAAAAAAAAAACTGGCGAACTATACGATCTTTCTAGTGCTTGAATTACATTCAATGAAAATTTCATGAGACATAAATAATCTTAATCCTTACAGCTACTGGGCGCTCGGAGCATTCGCTAGCATTCCATTGCCAGCTGCATTTATACCAACATCTCATTTGCATTTCTTTGGGTTCATCATAGTTGACAGTAGATGAAGCGGCCACAGCAAACCCATGCCTCATTATCCTTTCCTTCCAAGCAGCCAAGCTAACCGGCCGCTCGGCCCACCACCGCGATATGGAACAACGCTGGAGTGCGCCATTTGCCTGCGGCAGTGCCCCACCGCGCCGGGGCTGTTTGACAGGTCACCCGTACCGTGACCTCGCCACCCGCCACCCCCCCCCCGCCCATTTCCCCATAGGGCCCAGCTCGGTAGTGACCTCTCCTTGAATTTCACATGGACTCGACTGAGGCTCAACGCCATCTAGTTTCGTCTGGAGATCCTTACTAGATCCACTGTACATAGAACGTCTCTTATTGCTATTTTTTGGTTTATTAACCAACCGTGGACGACGAAGCATTCAGAACACATAGGTCTGATATAGGTATCGTTAAATCGTTTATCAGAAAATAACAAGTCGACTAACCTTGTTTCAGAAATTTACTCTGGTGATGCTGGATTATCTTTCTGAAACATTAGGCGACGCCTATCCTGAGGAGGCCGCGGCGGCTTACAAGAAACTCATGGATATCTTCAACACGAAGATGGGTCAACATTTGAACAAGTGAGTAGTTACCTGCTAAGACCCCATCACTGTAAAAGGCACCGCTCTGCTGCGACACGAAGAAAAATAACGGTGCTGATCACATGATGTTTAGTCAGCACACCTTTGTGGTTTGGCTCACGGCTTTTCCTTTTTGGAGGGCTTTTGTGTTGGTATGATTACGAAGCGAGCGAAGCGAGCGGAGTCTTTCCTTAGATTAACGGAAATTTCTGAGCATGAGCGGCCGGCCGGCCGGCCGGCCGGCCGTGGTCACGATTTTGCGACGCTTACGAGTATATCTCAGCAACCACTTGACCGATTTACACGCGGTAATTTTTGTAGGGTAGCTTCATTCCTTCTACCAAGTATTGGACTATTCCCGATGCATGTGGGTGACCCCTTATGCACGTGCCACGTGCAAAACGAAGAGGTGTCACTTTTGTAATTGTTGCAATATCTCGTTAACTACTTGGCCGATTGCGCTGAAAGTTGGCATGTAGGTAGGCACCCACTAGGCAATGCATATCCATGTGCCAGAGTTGGAGTGCTGCTGCACTGGCGCACGTGCAGGGGTCGATTCCAGATCTCGAGAACGGCTGGAGCGATGACGCTCAAATTTGGCACATGGTTAGGGACCGGTTAGTAGGGTGCCGTGCAGAAGTCAGTTGGAACCCATTTTGCACGTGCGCACGTGCAGGGTGCCGCTTCCAGATCTCGAGAACGGCTGGGCCGATCGTGCTCAAATTTGGCACATCGCTAGAGACCGGTTAGTAGGGTGCCGTGCACAAGTCAGCTGGAGGTACGGTACCCCTTCGAAATTTCGCACGTGCAAGGTTCACCCTCTCGCTCGCTCTGTTAGTCGCCCCAAAAGGCGTTATACTGGTTTGTAAATTGTGTATGATTATAGGTAATGGCTTTATAATTTATCCGTTTTGTATCGGCATACTGAATGGCGCGGACCTGCAGCCTATGTGTATAGTTATGTATTGTGTATGGGTGGATATGGTTGAATATGTGCGTATCTTTTCGACAGTCATGCGAAATGTGTCACTGTGTAATGTGTATAGGTATCACTCTGTCCACCTTCTGTCAGAAGACGAGCGATGCGGGCCTGCTGGGTAGGTATGTGTACTGTGTAGGTACCTATGTGGTGTATATTGTGCATGGGTATGCCTGACTGGCTGTCCGTCTCGTGTCGGCAGACTGAGTGACGCGGACCTGCAGGCGATCCGCTCCGTCTGGACCCTGGTCGAGCCCGACAAAGTGCAGCATGGAGTCGAAGTGCTCATCAGGTGAGCTCAGTTTACGTCACTGCTAGGTCAGTGGTAATATTAGTAACCTTTTGCATATAACTTAAGTAAGCTAAAAACAAATCCAAAGTTTATTTTCGGTGCTGGACCTTCTTCAGTGTTTTTTTTTTGTCATTCCACTGAAGAAGGTCCAGCACCGAAAATATATTTTGGATTTGTTTTTAGCTTACTTTAGTTATGAGCAAAAGGTTAGGGTAACTGTAGGGAAAACGCACCCCTGGGTTAAACGCCTTCCCTAAAAAAATCGTATTTCTTATCGACGGATAGGTGTTTTATCCTGTCTTTCAGAACAGTCAGCTGCTTGTTTACGCAGGTCTCTATTTCCGGTTCTGCGTCATGAGGAGCAGCGTGGGTAGGTGCTGATGTTGGTTTTGGGTGTTGTTTATGTTGTTTTTACAGAAGATTCCTAATATTTTGATGCCCTCTTTATATCACAAAACTTGCTATTGTGCACATCACTCAAAACTGCGTTTTATTGTCATTCTGTTGAATGTATTATGCTGCGGCGTTAGTGGCGCGTTTTTTGTCAATATTTTGTTGACCGGAAATGGAGTGGATGGGGAAAGACGCCTACTCGATGCATGGGGCAAGACGCCCCCAGTTTTCTGAAAGGGGGGCGTTTTGCACGGTGGTGAGAGTGCAGGGTAGCGCCCTGTAGGTCGGGGCCGAAAAGGCCTCTCCCTGTCCTTTTTTGCTGATATATCCTAAACGACTGCAGATATCGTCACCAAACTTTCAGGACTCCTCCGGGCATCCATTTTACACATTGCAACACAATTTTATTCCAAAGGCTATGATAGGTTGACCACAAATGACGTCAGAATGAAGTCAAGTTCTGCCATGTTCATCATTTTCTATTGATGGATGGGGTGGGGCGCTTTGCACATGGGTGTGGGCGTATTACCCAGGGTATGGGGCAAAACGCCCTTTTGTAAGGGTATGCGAAAACCTTTTTTGGGGGGTTAAATACCACACGCAGGTGTCTTTTCTTGGTCTCAAAGCGTAGTAAAAAGAATGAGCTACATAATGGTGCCCAAAGGTTTAAGTAATCTGTGTTGGGTTGAGTGTCAGAAGGTTTCGCGCTTAAGGGGGGCGTTTTTGACCTATTCACCCCACTATTCCATCTGATTTCCATTCTGTGTATGTGTATGTAAGGCACCCTCATATTTCTTATGAATGAATGAATGAATGAATGAATGAATGAATGAATGAATGAATGAATGAATGAATGAATGAATGCATGAATGAATACATGCATGAATGAATGAATGAATGAATGAATGAATGAATGAATGAATGAATGAATGAATGAATGAATGATAGAATGAACGAATGCATGAATGAATGAACGAATGAACGAATGAATGAATGAATGAATGAATGAATGAATGAATGAATGAATGAATGAATGAATAGACTGGATCCATCCAACATCTTATTGGCTTATTACGCAATCATTTGGCTTCAGCGGCAGCCGTTTGGCTCATTACGCATCCCTTTGGCTTTGGCTTTTGCTCATTTTTCATCCCGTTTTCCCATTGCGCAGCCCATTGGCTCCGTCGGCAGCTCTCTGGCTTATTACACAGCCCTTTGGCTCCGTCGGCAGCCTGGTGACGCCGGCGGCAGTGTGTTGGCGGCGCGGAGGACGGGGTGGCGGCCGTCTCTCAGACGCCACTCGGCGGTGTGCGTTGGTGCTCATGAGCCGTTTGTTCTGAGGGTGGGCCGCCCACTGTCCGTATCGGCACTGGCCGGCCGAGCGCGCCGCGCCGCAGCCCAATCTCGCAGATCTGAGGCGCCGACAGCGGTGACGCCACGCCAGATAAACCGCCGGGCCGGCCGGGCGGCGCACGGCTGTCGGCCGCCACTGGGCTCCTCCCCAGACGGCCGAGCTATGATCGATGGTGCCCGCCCTTCCGGCCGCCGCAGTGACTTGCACCCTCCGCCCCGCCGAACAGCCGCGCACCACGACTTTTCTCATGGCCCAATGAGTGAGCGGAGGGGTGTCAGGGTGGCCCTGGGCGCCAGGGACACTCCCTCCCGGGCCAAACGTGATGCCATTACATTTTCCGACTGGTCATGCGACTTGGAGTTTCTGTTCAGTATAAATAAAACGCTAGCGTGGCAAGCGTAGTTACCCGTGCTCTGCAGCGCCTCTTTAGGACGCTTTATCCCCATGCACGATGTACAGTCTTGTTCTTCTTTTGAATGTGTCGTCTCGACGTGCTCATCAATCGTCAATTGAATCTGCTCATCAATTGTCAAAAAAAACTCATCAATTGAAAGATTAACATACGTAATGGCTGAATGTATTTCTCTGCAGGCTGTTCGACCGTTTCCCGGAGACCAAGGCGAAGTTCAAGCGTCTGAACACGAGCAGTGCCGAGGCGATGCGCCAGTCGGCGCGGGTGCGCGCGCACGCCGGCCGCGTGCTCGTCTCGCTGGGCTCGGTGATCGCCAGCCTGGAGGACGCCGAAATGGTGGACGAGACCATCTTCCTGCTGGGGGACAGTCACAACCGGCGCGGCGTCACGCCCGACGACTTCCAGGTGAGCCCCGCCGTGTCGGTCCGCGCCGCCTACCGACCGTCGGCAGCGAGCTCACATTACAGAAGGAGAGCGGCCAACCAAAATACCGCTCACATCAATTCTTTTGAAGAAAAAAACTGTTGTAGATTACAACAAAATAATGCTAAATAAAACTGAATACACAAAGCCTATGTCGCTAAAGAATAGGCTGATTTTTTTGTCCTTGCGAAAATAACACTGGGCCCATGAAATCCATGCGTTTACTTCCAGCTGTCTCGTAATTCAAGACGGCGCCGCGACGCGTTCCCCCCACCGTCGCCACTTATTAGCTAACAAAGCCGACAAATTGATGGATCTGTACACAAGGTCATATGTCATTATGACAAATAACGTCTTTCACACATTCGTAGAGCCCAAGAACTACTGCGCTACACACATCACCCCAACAGAATGAGTGCAGCCGATGTCATTTCCGCATAAATGCTGCACAATTTCGTTGCGCATTGTACAGAGTGAGAATCCGTCAAATGTGCCATTACATTCCGGTAGGCTGTGTAAGTTAACAGTGTCTTCGTCTGTTTCTGCAGAAATTCACCGTCGTCTTCCTGGACTACCTGACGGAGACTCTGGGAGACTCTCTGACGCCTAACGCCGCCGCCGCCTACCGCAAGCTGATGGACTCCTTCAACAGCAAGATAGGGGAGCACCTGGACAGCTAGCCGGTGCCGGCCAGCCGCCCGGCTGCTCCGCCGCTAGCTCCCAGTGGTGTCTGGGCCGCGGGCCGCTGCAGTGCTCGGCGCCGCTCCGTCATAGTGCACTGTTAATAGATTGCGGTGCTCGGGGGTACGCCGCATACCTGAAGGAACACCTGTTACTGCAGCAGTTTTTACACAGCTTTATCGACCACTGCTAGTGTGTGGAACGTATTGAGAAGTATTCAAGGGGCGAACGTTGAGAGAGAACCCAAGGTCTTGCATTGTTACTCAATGAACAACTTCCATGTTTACTAACAACTTATGAATGAATGCATTTCAATGACTTTAAATAAAATAACTTCGATACGAGACGACGCATTTTATTTCCAATCCTTTGAGAGCTCAGTGGTGGCTAGTTGTGGGATCGCTGAACGGCCAGTCAATTTTCACCGAGTTCTAACGTCACCAAATCATACACTAGAGCAGCCTGGGGTCTGGAGTCCCGCAATGGACCCCACACTAGAGCAGAACAGTAGTCCGGCTGTCACTGTATGTAAGGCACTGGACCACACGAGCCGCCCTGGGGTCTGCCAGTTACCATGTATGGCACCGAACCGTAGAAGAGTAGCTTTCGGGCCTGGTGGTCCCTAAATAATATCAGACAATGCGACTGATTCGTGTGACGATCCTCCAGAGTAATTAACTATTAATCTCATCCACTGATCTAGCAGCGTTCAATAGACCGAGTGACCGAGACCGAGACCGAGAGACCGAGTCCAATAGACCCGACCCGAACGGCGCTGTCCGCTCGAGTCGGGTGCGGTAGCAGAGCCGCAGCGTTTGTATGTGGGCCGACAAATGAGGGTGCAGCCCACACCTGCAGCGGTGCGGTCCATGTGCCGGTACATCGGGGAGATCAGACCCGAGCGCCATCTGGGGCTGGGGTCTGCCGCCAGACGGAGCTCCGTGCACCATGCAGGGAGGTGTGTACAAGGAGACACGGCTACCCCCAGTTGCCGAGGTTTAGCACGGTGTGCTCATATGCATATGCACCTAGCCTATGCAGATGCAATGAAGCAGACCCAGAAAAAAGCAAGAGAGGCGAACAGCAATGCAGCGCCACAAAATCGTAGGTAAGCGTGTTCAAATGATTCCTGTTCGGTCACACAACAACCACTCAGGTCAAGTTCTGTGGAGGGTCAAGTGGAAGGTCAAGTTCAAAATTCACGTGTCCACTTTTTGTATGAGTTTTCCAATCAGCTTGGCCATCGGAAAGCGATTTCCCCTATGGATATCCCCTTTCAGCAAGATACCTAATAGCCGTTTTCACGACGGCCATCTGGTACACATTTGGTGCACATTTGGTACAGATTAGGTGCATTTTTGGTCAAATCAGGTTCAGTGTGTCTCTTAGCAGCTATCAGATAGGGTTGCTCTAACTGCTTATATGCCTGCTTTGTCATATTATCAGAGAACATCATCGATTAAAACACTGAACTAAATTCATATGAAATGAAGATATTTGCTGTAAAAGAAATTAGGTGCAGATTTGGTCAAATCAGGTGCATTCGCCGGATAGCCCGTCGTGAAAACGGCTATTAGGTACCTACCTACATAGGTAGGTGTACGACAGAAGAAGCAATTAACCCGCGCCCGGCTGGGGGTCCTGGATTTCCACGCCCTGCTGGGGGGGGGGTGTTTGAACACCCCCCCCCCTTGTAACTCGGCTCCTGGGCCACGTAGCGATACGCGGAAGGCGGCGTTCGAAAGAGCGTCAAAAATAATGACGAAATCACTTCGGTCAATTTTTTGGTCAGGTCAAAGGTCAGGTCACCAGAGGTCATTGAAGGCAAAATTTCGCCGATTTCCAGGTCGAATGTCGAAAATTTCCAAGAAGCCAACGCATAACTCGAGAACCAATAGAGCTACAGCGCCGCGGAAAAGCGCATTCGATAGCCCTATTAAAGCCCTTTCTGAGTAATACTCTCAGATTTGACCTAACGTCAACGGTTTTGCCTGCAGGGGGCAAAAACTGCAAAAATAACCGATTTTTTCGGAAACAGTTTCTCTGCAATAACTTTTGACCCAAGCCTTGTACGAGCTTACTTTTACCGGCATTGTGTTCCTCTCGTCAAGACGCATCGAATGAACTATAACTTGACCTTGAAAGGTCAACTTGAAAATTTGACCTCAGGTCAAGGTCATGACCTGACCGGAAAGGGTCATGTTGCATATCAGTCAATCCGTATCGTCGAGCTGAACATATCTAAGGCGTTTTCATCGCTTTAGCATGCCTCTATCAAAAGTTATTTGCGAAAAACTGTTAGATACCATTCGTGACCTAAGATGACCTCAGGGCATAAACAAGGGTCACGGACACCATTTTCATGTTCAGTGTGTCTAAACCACTTGTAATTCGGTGTTTGGGAGTGTTTATAATGTCTTTTGTCCAAAAGAGGCGCATTTCAATTTTCTCCCATTGACTTATAATAATGGGGAGGTCGCAAAATTGACCTGACCTTAGGTCATCGATATCAAAATTCTGAGATATACATTTTGTACATGCTATTGCTCTTAGCAATCGCTGAAAGTTTCAAAGCGATCGGTCACTCGGTGTAGCTATGACAGACATTGAAACTTTTTATGAGGTGAGGTCACTTCAAGTGACCTGGTGACCTGACCTTGAATGACCTTGGTCTGAAATTTTCACAACATGTGTAGAATTGATGTATGATAAGGTGTACCAAAAACGGCGGCGCGGAGCGCCGCCGTTTTTGAGATATTCGCGAAAAACCACAAGGGGGGGTGTTTGAACACCCCCCTTGTGGTTTTTCGCGAATATCTCAAAAACGGCGGCGCGGAGCGCCGCCGTTTTTGGTACACCTTATCATACATCAATTCTACACATGTTGTGAAAATTTCAGACCAAGGTCATTCAAGGTCAGGTCACCAGGTCACTTGAAGTGACCTCACCTCATAAAAAGTGTCAATGTCTGTCATAGCTACACCGAGTGACCGATCGCTTTGAAACTTTCAGCGATTGCTAAGAGCAATAGCATGTACAAAATGTATATCTCAGAATTTTGATATCGATGACCTAAGGTCAGGTCAATTTTGCGACCTCCCCATTATAAGTCAATGGGAGAAAATTGAAATGCGCCTCTTTTGGACGAAAGACATTATAAACACTCCCAAACACCGAATTACAAGTGGTTTAGACACACTGAACATGAAAATGGTGTCCGTGACCCTTGTTTATGCCCCGAGGTCATCTTAGGTCACGAATGGTATCTAACAGTTTTTCGCAAATAACTTTTGATAGAGGCATGCTAGAGCGGTGAAAACGCCTTAGATGTGTTCAGCTCGACGATACGGATCGACTGATATGCAACATGACCCTTTCCGGTCAGGTCATGACCTTGACCTGAGGTCAAATTTTCAAGTTGACCTTTCAAGGTCAAGTTATAGTTCATTCGATGCGTCTTGACGAGAGGAACACGATGCCGGTAAAAGTAAGCTCGTACAGTGCTTGGGTCAAAAGTTATTGCAGAAAAACTGTTTCAGAAAAAATCGGCTATTTTTGCAGTTTTTGCCCCCTGCAGCCAAAACCGTTGACGTTAGGTCAAATCTGAGAGAATTACTCAGAAAGGGCGTTAATAGGGCTATCGAATGCGCTTTTCCGCGGCGCTGTAGCTCTATTGGTTCCCGAGTTATGCGTTGGCTTCTTGGAAATTGTCGACATTCGACCTGGAAATCGGCGAAATTTTGCCTTCAATGACCTCTGGTGACCTGACCTTTGACCTGACCAAAAAATTGACCGAAGTGATTTCGTCATTATTTTTGACGCTCTTTCGAACGCCGCCTTCCGCGTATCGCTACGTGGCCCAGGAGCCGAGTTACAAGGGGGGGTGTTCAAACACCCCCCCCCCAGCAGGGCGTGGAAATCCAGGACCCCCAGCCGGGCGCAGGTTAAGCGAAACAACTTCATCACGCGTAGGACGACACGTGATAACAAAGAAAAATATTACAGCCAGGGGTCGAAAAAGGCGTGGAGTGATACAAACCTTCAGATCCCAGCTTCTCATTTTGATACAAAAATTCTTATAATTGTTTTTCTAATCGAACATATTGCTCTATAGCTTACTATCCGTTATAGATAAGTGTTTTTGATTGATTTAAGGTCAAAAACCTACCATAGCTTAATGCTTCAGCACCTAAAATTGTCATTTTCGTCGTCGTCAAGTTCCACTGAGAGTCGGCAGCGACACGCTGTTTTATTGGGGGTCATATGGCCGCTTCCGTGGGAGCCAAGGGACGGCGAGCGCATCTGGAACACGTTACCGGCACCAGGCACGGCCAAGGACAGTTACTTTCGATCGGAGACGAGGCTGGGTGGGAGATGACTCCCTGCGTAGATTTGGATAAAATGTGCAGAGAAACAGCAATGACGTTATCAAAACCAAGGGCAGTGAGACACATCATTGGATAAACATTGCAACTACATCATTGCTTTGCAACTTCATCCACTTGTATGCAACGGCTGTATGCGAAAACTGGGCAGAATTATTACATGACGTACGAGAAATTGACAGTCTCCACTCGCAAAATAAATGACATGCAATTGCACACATCATTTTCTATGCAAACAATAACGCAAAGGAATCATCCTTTCATGAACTCATGTGTCATTGGGCGGGTAGATCCTCGATAATATTGATTAGGTTGACAGAGATCGGTAGATTGGACCGATCCTATAGGTACATTTACGAAGTCAAAAAATATAAAATAAAGGTAACACTCACTCATTGGACTGATTCCCTCAGCTCGCTATGGCGCGCTTCTGCCCGACCGAAATAGGAAATGTTCACCCAAAGCCTGATCAGAGCGCTCACTGCTGCCATTGGAGTCTGAAGGTCTGAAGTAGGTCGCCGCGGGGTATTTTAGAGGTGAAACCATATTTTTACCGCTACGGTGTAATACATACATACACACATAATGCCGCGGGGTATTAAATACATACATTGCAAATTAGAAACTAGATTTTTGATAATGCTCACCACACATAAATTTTCAAATTCAACTCATAAAGTGGTGAAAATATTAGAAACTTTTTATCGTTAACGTTTAACCCGCGCACCGACGGGGGTCTGCGCCAACTTCGCACCGACGGGGGGGGGCGGATGACCGCCCCCCCCTGAGATCTCGAGAACGAAGCAAGATAGCGACAAGCGGTAAACGGCATCGGATACGCACGGTCAAGATCTACAATTTTTAATAAGGTCATTTTCAGGTCAGGTCAAAGATGACGTCACAGGGGTCGAAAAATTCAAAATGGCGGCGCTAGATATGGAGAGAGTTTTTCTCGAATAACTTTCGAATTAGTCAAGATAGGAGCAAACTAAGGGCATCATCGTGATACTCTCGTCAATCCGCATCGAATGATATATATGTTGACCTCGAAAGGTCAAGGTCAAAGGTTGACCTCAGGTCACGTGACCTCGAGGTCATCATGTATATCATTCGATGCGTCTTGACGAGATGAACACAATGAGACCATCCACGCGGCTGTATCTTGTTCCTGTATGGAGTTATTGTCCAAAAACCTTTGGTGACCTTTGATGACGTCACATGACCTCACAGCTGCCCAACAGCAAAACAGACCTCAAGGTAGTGAAGGTTGATCGTATATGAAGTCATGTATGGTATATGGGGCCATTCCGACCCGTTTTAGTGGTAAAAATAGGGAGTTGATTTTTCCCCCATTGACTTATAATGGGGAGGTCGCGAAATTGACCTGACCTTAGGTCACCGATATCAAAATTCCGAGATATACAAATTGTAGCTACTAATGACCTTATAACATCCTGCGACTTTCAAAGGCCTCCGACATCTACTGTAGCTCTGGCACGGTGACAAAGTTGCTAAAAAGTGACTTGAGGTTGGGTCTTTCAAAGTGACCTGGTGACCTGACCTTAAAACGTAGGAGGTTCAAACTTGCACACCATGTGTAAAATTGATGAGGGAATAGTCGTACCAAATTTCGCGGCGCGTACTCAGGGGGGGCGGATATCCGCCCCCCCCCCCGTCGGTGCGCGGGTTAAAGAATGTGATACAAAATAAAAAGGCCGATTTTCCTTTACTAATGAACATATTTAAGGACGATAAATAAAATAAATGTCAGATTCTTCAAACCGAGGAATAAGCAAGCTTATAAAGTTCTGTATCATCTTGTATCCATGTATCGGTTTCCGTTCGTGCCGGCATAGTGAAGAGCCGGCGGGAAAACAGTCAGCTGCTGGCAGGGTCTTTGTGTCCCGCCATCTATCGACCAGCCGGAACACCGATGGTTGGTCCTACCGCCCCCGGCTACCAAACGAATCGTCGGCAGCGACGCAGGACGCAGTGGCGCGTCGACGTGCGTCGCGGGCGGACACGCCGAGCCTCTTCTCGCATGCCGCTGGACTACTATCCTGTATCCACTTTGATACATTTGCACCCCCGAAACAGACCTGATTTGCAACAACCGCTGGGTCGTATGTTCGAGACATTTTCGACCCCTGATCACAGCAAAGCTTTTACAGACCTTTTTATTAGTTATGCATAAAGTGGTGTATATCACAGAATAAGACTGACATTAAGTTAAGCGCGAAGTGGTCTACAAAGGACGGCGATCTGCGGGATAAATTACACCGGGAGATCAGGCACCCTCAGCTCATCTTCATCAGTGCACCGCTCACTCGGGCTTGACGTAACGGCCAGAGAACAAAACCAGACCGACCTCGTTGTCAACGATAGCGAAGAAGAACGGGTGGTTGGCAAAAAACTCGAAGTTAGGCACAAAGCACATTAACTGCATGACCATCCCCGTGGCGGCGGCCGCCTTGGTGCCTTCTTCGTTGACCTCAATGAAGGCCTTGTGGACCACCTTGGACACAAACAGGTCATTGTTGCCCGATATCTTGGACAGGTCCGCCGAATTGGAATCAAACAAGTCAGCGATGTCCAGCTTCTTCAGATGGTCCTCGAGGTTGTAGGACGTCTCCAGCTTGAACTTGGGGATGCTGATGGTGGTTTTTTCACTGTGCAGCTTCTGCATGATGGACTGGACCGGTGTGTTGGCAAGCTTCTCCTCCAGAGCCTTCAGTCCGTCCTTCTTGTCGGGCAGCAGCAGCAACATGCTGAACCGCCGGCCCTCGTACGGCAGCTCCAAAGCCTTGCAGCCAAGGTCGGAGAGCACGCCGCAGTTGAAGCGCTTGCCGTCCATGAACATCATGTCCGTCTTCACGGCGCTGTCTGGAGTGACGAAAAAGTCCTGCTTCTGCGTCACCTTCTTGTCAAACTTCTCTTGCCACGAGCCCTTGAAGTAGATGGCATTCACCAGCACCAGGCGGACAAGTGCGTTCAGGGCACTTGGATCGATCAAGTCCTTGATTTTCCCTCTCGTCAGTGACTCCACGTCATCATTGATCAGTTTGCTTGTGCCGGCCGCGTCAGCAAAGTCCACGCTCTTCAGCTCGCTGAGGTACTGGTTCTTCATGAGCTCGAGGTAGCTGTCCAGTATCTTGTAGGAGTTCTGGACGTACATCTTGTTGGCGGTGCTGAGTGTGACGTTCGGCGGGTCGTTCAGCTTGGCCAGCACCTTGCCGTAGCCGTCGTGGAGCGCCGCGGCGTCCTCGGGCAGCGCCAGCGCCTGCCGCAGCTGGAGCGCCGTGTCGCCGCCGGCGCCGCCGAAGGCCATGGACAGCGCGGTGGCGATGCTGAACGGCGACAGGAACACGTTGTCGTCGCCGGCCGCCTCTGCCAGCACTCGGTACAGCCGGGAGGCCGCCTGCGCCTGGTGGCTGGCCACATGCTCCATGGCGCTGGGATTGGTCTGAACGGACGGGCACGAGTTGAGACCGAGGGTCGGTCCAGCGGGCAGCAGCAGCAGCAGCAGCAGCAGCAGGGGAGCCGGCGCGGCGCTCTGACACCGACTAGGACCGGCGGCGGCCGGGACTGGTGGGCGGCGTCCGGGAACACCACGCTGATTCACTACCAGAAGCACGTCACTTCACGGCCACGGCGCTCAATAACGTGGATGGCACCGCTCCGCCGTCACCTCTCGGCCGCGCCAGCCGTGCCCCGATGACCTCACCCACCCACGACACCGTCGGCTGGCGGCCGCCGCATGCGCCGCTGGTCGGCCCGATAACCGGGCGACCAAAGCCGTAGCGCTGGTAACCGCTGACGAAACGCGCTGCGAGTCCGCCGCTGACCTTGGCGTGGTGCCCGATAGGAGCGGGAGTCGGCTGACGGCCTGCTGCGGGCCGGTGGCGCCGCCTCTGGTCGAGCGAGCTGCGCCCCTGGCGGCACCTACAGCCAGTGCTCTGTTCTGAACTCTCTCTGTCCTGAGCTGACCTCTTGGGCCCGTTACCTCAGTTGGTAGGACATCAAACGATTGATGTATGATCAGACTATGCTATCATTGCTGATTGATTGACTAGGCAGAGATCATTGCATTTTTAACCTTTGCCCCAGTGGGGGGGGGGGCATATGTTACCACCCTGTCGCGTTTTTTGCGTGTGAATAAGAAACCGCGGCGCGTAGCGCCGCACCGCTTGGATATCTTTCTCTACATCAACTTTGGACAATGTGTGAAATTTTTGAATTTTGACCCCATGTCATGTCAGGTCAGGTCACCAGTTCGAGTTAACTGACCAAGCTTAAAAAAGTTTGGAATCATGTTCAGCCTGCAGTGTTTGTCAGAGAGATTTTAAACTTCGTGGATTGCATGATGTTATGGGCACCTATAATTTGTATCTCTCGGATTTTTTTTTATATCCGTGACCTAAGGTCAGGGCAGTGGCGTGACCTTTCCATTATAAGTCAATTGAGAAAAATGAAAATGCCTCTAAATCCGTGTGTACTCATAGGAACTGTCCAAATATTTCAGAATCACAATTATTTGGACCACCCGTGACGACCAAAGTGTCTTTTTTGCTGATAGCCTCTACAAAGGTCATCCGAGGTCATTAGCCCTCGCCCGCACATTGGAGGTTGCCCCCCCCCCCCCCGGTAGTTTTCCTGCTCTGCACTCAACATTTTTAGAGCTAGAAGGCTGAATTTTCGTATGGTTGCTCCTCTATACTTTTTTGATGTCCACTGAAAATTTATAGTTTCTGTGGTTTTTTGTTTCGGGTATATAACCCTGTTCTTCAGGTCATGTCATGACCCAAATGACAAATATCCAATATCTTGCGTTGGCTATGGGTCTTGTGAGCTTTTGGCACCTTGATTTCGGCCTTTTTTGCCAGTCTTACCTCCCACCTATCATGGAACATGTTGTTCGATGATGTACAGATGTCAAGGTCAGGGTCAAGGTCAACCTAGGTCATCTAAAAACATTGCGTTTTAGGCTAGCTAAATTTACTTTTCGTGAAGTTTCTGTGACTGTATTTTTGATAAAAGCTTCTCATTTCATGATATCATACTAATATGGACACATAAACAATCGGTGCACACATCAATATACCTACACACAGACACACACAGACATACAAACACATACCTATCATTGACCTTGACCTAACTACCTGAAATGACCTCAGCAGCAAAAATCTGGTCGGATAGTGTGACATACGAGTAGAGGTTCTAGCTGGCTTGGCACCACAATTCGGCATCGTCATCGGTGTATGATGAGCAGCGCACTTGATATCCAACGGTGACCCAAAACAGCAACATCTTTAGTTTGACCTGACCTGGAAGGTCAATGACTGACCTGACCTGAGAAGGTAAAACTGGGTATCATTGGATTCGTCTCTTCCCAAAGAATCTTTTTGGTCCTTACCGCGAAGCTCTATCTCCAACAGGAACGAAATGGTGCGAGGGGTGGCAACCCCCCCCCCCCCCATGTGCGTTCTAGGATGGGAAAATGGCATGTGCGGGCGAGGGTTAGAGGCTACCTCCTCGCAATTTCGCACGTGCAAGGCCCACCTTCTCGCTCGCTCCGTTAGTCGCCCCAAAAGGCGTTACACTGGTAATAGGTAGGTACTAGGTAGGTAACGTTTCGACGGCGTACCACAACCGGCAAACCGTCCTTAGTGGTCTGCCGAGCAACGCGCCCTGTTGGGAGGGGGGGACAATTTGCCCCCCCCCCCCCCCTAAGATCTCGAGAACCACGCATCATAGCGACAAGCAGCAAACGGTGTTTGACCATTTCATTGACCTCGGTCAAACCGATGGCGTCACAGGTCAGGTCAAATGTCAAATTTTCACCGTTTACAGGCATTTCAAGAAATGCGTTGTAAAATCGAGTAAAATGCATTTCATTGAAAGTTATCGTTGGGGAATTGTTCGTCAAACACATATTTTGCTATCTGAGGTCACTGATACCAGGTCAGGTCTCAGACGTCAGGTCACCATGAGGGTCACAATATGAAAATATTATGTGATGCATGTTTTTTGGTCCATTATATATGCCAATGCAATTTTGTGGGTCAAGCAGCCTTTGGGGCCAGTTAAGATTATGTTCTGGTGAAGGTCAGGTCATGGTCAGGTCAAATTAGGTCTAATTTTTTGCGTTTTTCTATAAAAAAATGCAACCTTTCTTATTTTTGATGGTCTAAATCCCAAACTTTTGAAGAAAAAATCTGAGATAGCAGTTTTGCACCGCCGTCTTTTCTTTACATGATAATATAAAAACCTTTGAAATTGCTTGGTAGCTGGGGCTTCTGTGAGCGTTTCAAGATTTCATGTTTTTTTTTTGCTCATTTTTGCTGGAACATGGCCTCAGTTTGACTTCAATAAATCCTGACCTAAGGTGATCTAAGGCTTGACATTTTGTATGATGGTGTAAAATTGATGCCCGCCGCCGTTATTTTGCTATTCAGTAAAAACCACAGTGGGGGGGGGGGGACCAGCGGGACGAGGGTTAAATGTGACCCAGCCGGCACTACAGCACTGCGTGGAACCGGTCCGCTCTGCCCAGCCCGACCTTTGGCGGCGCCATTTATCACTTTTATCAGAAGGACGCCCGACCAGGCGGTTACTACCGGTCCACTGTGCGTGCCCTCTCGCCCATCAGCTTCGTGGCACAAGTGTTGTGAAACTCGCAACATCTGGAACAACACTGTGCATTCGGGTAATAAGAGGCTTGTCTTGTGTCTTGTGCATGTTTTTACAAGCGCACACAATGTAGAATTGACAAAAAATCGTCCGACACCTTGCCTCAACCTACTGTTCTAATAAATATAGGTACAGCCAACAGAGTTTCGGGTAACAGTGTTGGGATCCAGGCATAAAATAGAGACTGTCTTTCTTTTCCTCGTGGTCTGGTCATAACATAAGTTGTGGTCAGATACTCGTATAGTCAATTCTCAAAATTCCTCATGCCGGCCGAAATAAGCACATTCGATAATGACGGAGCCTGCGTCCGTGTCCACACCACAAGAGGATGATTAAAACATGTTGTGCTCGAGATGTTGCAATGAATGGAAATGTACTGAATGTGTTGCAAAAACATCCAACGACACGAAATTGCTGAGTAGACAATGACACCCTATCAAGGAGCCCAAGGCGCAAATACTCCACTGCTAACGTCGCACCCCTACAGTAGCTCTCTGCCCCCACCCCCTTCACCCCCACCCCCACCCCCGTTTAGCGATGTTAATTTTCAGTTCCGTTGTCATGGCTTGAGGTATCCATCACCTACCCACTTTCCCATGCCATTTGTTTGTTCAGTGATGCCGGCTACAATTCTAAATATGCAACGGCTATATAAAAACTTCGTGACCTCTGTGGATAACAAGATTGCATATTATCGACACAATATGTTCAGTGTTGACATAGAATTGACCTCAATGTGACCTCAAAATTCGAATATAAATATGCACCTCAGGAGGCGCCGCCTAGCACACCTCGCTAAGATAGTTTCGGAAATCTTCTGTACCTAGACGGCTGCTGACATTTGGCGAACGGTTCAGCGAAGTGCAGGCTAGGCAGCCCAACATCAACCAGTCCGATGTCTGACAGCACAGTAATCCGGCATCAGTCTGGTAAAGTCCAGTCTGGCACCGACCAGACCAGTTCCAGCCGGTCCACGAGTACAGTGTGTGGTCTCCAGTGCGGGTCACAGTCTGCGGTACCCGGGGGCAGCAGTACGGGTCACCTGTCGGCAGTGTCTGACCTCTGTACAGGTCACCAGTCCAGTATCTGACCTTCAGTGCCGCAAGTCGCCAGTGGAGGTGCAGTACCGCTGCTGGGGCTGCCGTCGGCTCCCGATCGAGCTCGGCCGAGTATAAATTGGTGGCCGGCGGCGGCGGCCGCTATTGGTGCCCGGTCCCGCGCCGGCCGCAGTCTCGTCCCGTCCCGCAGCGCGGTCCGCACAGAGCCCCCAGCGCCGCGGTCCGCTGCGGCAAGGTGTCAGACGGCAGCGGCATGGAGCGGCTGAAGAACTGGGTGGCGGGCATGTCGTCCTGCGCGGCGGCCTCCCGGTCGCAGGCCTCACGTGAGTACCTGTCACACCGTGCACAGAAGTAGGCACTGCACTGCAGGAGCATATCTGGCACAGGGCACATACATATTACATAATGGTACACAGAAAGCACCTGTTGCATGGTACACGGCGTATAGAGTAGAGGCTCGGTACACAGGGCACAAGGTCTCAGGGAAAGAGAGGGTCCATAGAAGTGAGCACAATTGCTCAGCTGTCCAAATTACCCACTGCATGGCGCAGGGGGTGACAATGCGTGATTTTGGTCTGAATCAGACGGAATACCGACAGTCCGACTACATTCGGGGTGAGGGAGCCCCCGCCCAACCGACTGCAAGGGTCGAGGAACGGTGCCGCCGATACCCCGCCAGGCGACAGGGTGAAGAAACGGGCAGCTTTATAAATACATGCAAGATCATGAGAAAGCAATAGCTACCCGGTTTGGGTAACAGAATCGGTTACCATTGGGTGCTTTCGTTCGAAAATACTAGTGAAATTAAATGCTGCAAAACCATGTAAATTGTTTTGACCTTGTCACATCACGCAAACAAACCAGACTAAAGACAAGTCATTATGTAATAAGCAGGCAGTAATCTTGTTGTCGTCTTTCTGTTTAATGGTGAACTAAGCAAGTGTTATATTGAGCCTAACTATTATGTTTGTTTGTCTTCATCGTTGCTTAGCAACATATGAACCTTGCCCGATTACCGACAGCCGTAATAAATCATCAATGTCGATTAGTTTCTTCAATATTTCATTTGAATCACATTCTTTCGTTTTTGGCTTATACATACAGTGCACACATGCCATGACGTTGACAGATCGATTTTGTTACATATGATATACAGTCACATTACACCATTAGGTATTTGCCTTGCAGTCACTCTTGAGTTGATGCCGAGTAGACATATCTCTAGAAACGAAAGTTCCAGGGACATCATGGAGACTGACCAGTCTCACCTGCCCGACTTGAGTTTCCATAGGCCGTAGGAACAGGGGGCCGCGGGGGGCACGACTCCCACTTTTCAGCCATTTTTTAAGTAAAATCTTATTTTTTAAATACAAAACTAAGAGCAGGAAATGGCTCGACAAGGCGAGATGAGCACAAAACTGCAAATAATTTCTTCACAGGGGTATTGGGCTCCCACAAAGTGACATTGAAGTTTTGCTCCCCCCCCCCTCACTTTTCGTGAGGTTCTTACGCCCATGTGAGTTTCCCAGGCAAAAGTCTGTCTGGGCTTCCCTTAGTTCTCTATCCAGAAGGGTGTGGAGTGGACTGACTTGAACAATCTAGTTACGTATCAATGATGATGATTTATCAATGATGGAATAACATTTAACATATGAAGTGGTGTCAGACCTCGCTGGCTCCCACACAAAGACGGTCAGACCTCAGTGGTTTCCGCCTCGCACACAAAGGCGGCCGGTGGCTCGGTGGCTCAGTGGCTCCCAGACAGGGCGGCCAGAGCTCGCCGACCCTCCCCCTCACCCCCCCCCCACCCCCAGCTGGGGTGTGCGTTCTTGGGCAAGCCGGAAAAGGACAACGTACCGAGTAACAACAAAACCGTACCCAAGATCGCATGTTCAAATAAGCAACTGGCGAAGATCTGTTTGTGTTCCGAGTCGGTTGGATCTGTCGCCCGCTTATCGACATGAGTTATTGCCACAGCGGGGCAAGCTGTTACCAGTCGCCTTGTCGTAGCACGCTCACCATAACAGAGTAAGAACACTCGAAAACACACCCGGCCAGCCGCTGACCTTGTTTCAACACACGGGTACTTCCAGTCTACAGGATGCGTACAGCTACACTGACAACACGGTGGCTTTTCATGTCATTACATTTCAACTTATTTATAGGATTGAACCATGACGTGGATAACTCATTCATATCTTTAACCCTCGCCGGCACAGGGGGGGGGGGGTTGATGGAACCCCCCACTTAAGGTTTTTCGCAAATAACTCGCGTAATAAGCGGCCGATCGCGACGACACTTTCAGTACCCTCGCATTGATCAATTTTACACCTACCCTGAAAATTTCATGACCCTGACCCAAATGACCTTTGACCTGTGACCTCTTTTCTGAGACCATGTTTGGCCGGAATCGCGATTCGGCGTATGTCGGCTTGCATTAGCCGCGCGTTTGCAAGCTTTTCGTGGTTTTAAACGTTCAAACATGTGATTTGATGTTGCGTCACTTGCTCCCATACATTAGGGTGGGTGTCAAGGTCACCTGAAAGTCAGGTCAGGTCATTGACCTTTGGTGACCTCGGGTGACCTCGGTTCACTTTTTCGAGTTTTATATGTTTCTAGGCTAGTTTTTGGAGCTGAATTCGAATTAAGCAACCATTTGAACATTTACGAAGTAGTTTTGGTGCCTTCGTAACATGTTACGAAGCTGTCAGAGGCGGTTGACACGTATTACGAATACCCGTCACAACCCCTACCGGTTGACCTGACCTGACCTGACCCGACCTGGTCTAAATGCTTAAAGACATCATCTCTGATCAAAACTAACACGATATTCGTGATCAGCACCCCGGAAAACCACCACATAGCAGCCACACTTTACGACTTTCTAACAGGTCCCGATTTTCCCGGTTTTCGGGTCATTGACCTGACCTGGAAGGTCACCCGATGACCTAGGACCTTAAAATTTGGTATCATCGGCTTCCTCTCGTGACGGGCAACACGCTCGTTTTTTCCGCGAAGCTCTAGCTCAATCAGGGGCCAAACGCGAGGGGGTCGTACCAACCCCTCCCCCCCTTGTGCCGTCGAAGGACGCAAAATGGCCTGTGCCGGCGAGGGTTAAAAAAATAGGGGACCGACGCATGCGTGCGCTTGGTCAGCGACTCTATAGCATAAATATCATTATTTTATTATCATTTTATGGTGAATTCTGCGCTCGAAAATCTGTCGAAAAGAGCATGCCTACCTAAGCATAGATAAATGGTAAAATCTTAAACAAAGACTAAAAGCAAAACACTTCGATAGTCTCGTTTGTGGTTGCTCGCGGCTAATTCTTTTGGGGTTTGTGAGTCCCATCCTCCTATAAAGTGGCTCAGTTAGTAATTACACAGGCACGGTTCAGACAAGGTTACACGGTTCCCGAGCCGCGCCGTTTGGGGCCGTTCTGCCCCTCACGCGCCGTGCGGCCTCTGTATACGCCAGCCCCATGCCGAGCTGCGCAGCCTGGCTCACTACTAGCCAGCCCTGCACGTGTGTCACAGCCCGGCCGCTCAATATCGCCCTGTCAGTCGATAGAGTTACCCGTCCCGCTCAGTCGGCACAGGCGTTTTTGTTGTGCACTGATGCTCACAGCAGCCCAGCATTCAGGTGAATATTGTATTGTTTTAGGCCTAAATATTTAAGATGATCAATAATGATCTATAATGTGACAGCCTAGAGCAACAGTCATTCCTCACTGCAATCACTGCGCCACACACAATCCTCATATAGAACTGTGACAAAGTATCCCAATGCAGCAGTGACAGGTATTACCATCAGGCATCAGTGACAGGTCTTACCATCAGTGACAGGTCTGACCGCATCGGTGACACGTCCAACCAGTGACAGATCTGACCAGCAGTGACAGGCCCGGCCAGTGACCGTCCCGGGGCCAGCCGGCCGGGACCGGACGCGGCTGCGTTAGGTCTCCCCCGAGCAGCGGTCCCGGTGGGTCACGCAGCTCCATACAAGGCACCAGTCTGATAACTGGCACAAGAAACAGGCTGTTGATGGCGGCTCCCAAACGGCTGCGGCCGCCGGCGCTGGCCGCTGCTATCGGGGCCGGCGGCCGTGTTGTTACAGGCCCCGAGGTGCCGGCGGCCGCCACTGGACCGGGCGGCACCGTGGGTGACCAGACTGGCATAGATATGGGCCACGCTCTGCGTCTCCCGAGGTCAAACCGCCACAAACAGCTGGCTATTTAGGTACTACATCAATTACATATGAATGTATGCAGTCGATGTCACTCGTGAGGCGTACTGAATGAATGATATGGTTATAGCTAAAAAAAAATGTCGCAGAAATCATGAGTGTCTCTGTCATTCAAAGTTATTACACCAAAAGCACATAGGCTAACCAACCACTCTTTTGCTGGAGGGCCGTACAGGGCGCACGGTCGACGGAACCGCGGCGGTCGGCCGCGGCTCTGCCTACCTGGCGTAGCGTACTGCCTGGAGGGTAGGCTGTGCCGCGCAGCACCCGAGTACCGCGGCACAGCCTACCGCCCGACAGCCGCGCCCGCTGGGCCGGCGGATAGCAAATGGAGCTCAGAAATAACCTGCTTAGCTTATAGATGTGCATTTGGTTATGGCACGTTTTTGTATAGGTGTATCTAATACCTATGTGTTGCAACTTGCCAGTGTTCGTTACAAGCTGTATTGTAAACAATCCAGCAGTCCTCTGAACCGGTCACTGAGCGAAATTAGAGCCCAGCTGCATCTATAGGTATGTGATGGTAGTTGGAAATGTTCAGTCTGGACAAAGAGTAGCGCACTGCATTCTTGGCAGCGCCAGTGGTCCGGTGTTTGTGGACTGAGGGTTACCAAGGCCGGCTCTGACCGGCCGCTCGCCTGACGAGCCCGTGTGAACGGGGCCGGCCTGACGTGGGGGTAGGGGGGGGGGGGGGCGCTGGCCGACCGCCCAGCTCCCCTGTCTCCGGGGGACCCGAAACAAAGGTCATCCACCTGCTGGAGAGGCTCTGACGATGCGGTAACCGAACGAGGAGAGCCGTCTCGCAGGCTTCTCTCTTGAACCTTTACAGCCATTAGGCGCTTGGTAATCGCTATTGGCCAATCTATCTTCAAGCATGCAATACCTATATGTCTTATGCATACCTACATGCCTAATATGAATAATGAGCTTAATCTGATAGAACAGTCGAGGGATTTTTTACTAATCAAACAGACCTAAGCCGGTGTGGAGGGCCGGTGAATGGTGCGGATAGGAGCGGCGCCATCCCCGGGTCCCGAGCTGCCTGGCCAGTTACCTCCCCCCCCCCCCCCCCCCACCCGGCTGTGTTGGCGCCCCTCCACGGCGGGCCGGCGATCAGCAGTGCTGCCGAGACTGGTGCCTCGGTAAACGCACCACTCGGCCAAAGCACGTGACAAGACCGTGCTCCCAGCTCTGGCCTGGGAAGCGCTGTGTATCGTTTGGCAGGGATATCGGCGGTTCCACTAAATCGGCCCGGCACAGACATTGCACTCTGTAGCCGCAATTAGCTCACCTACACCAGTGAAATGTAGTGTTAACATCAAAATAAATGCATCGCAATGTCGATTTGAGGCTAGGATTTGTAGACAATGTATATGTGAGTAGGCAGGACTGCCACGCCTGCCAGTACGACACCGCCGTGCCGTGTCGCAGATGAGCTGGCCGATGGGAAGGTGCGGGGCTCGGACTCGTGTCAGGCCCGTGACCCGTGACCCGTGACCCGTGTTGCAGGTGAGCTGACCGATGGAAAGGTGCGCGTCTCGGACCCGTGTCAGGCCAGGTGTCTGGCAAAGGACGCCGAGGCACACCAGACGTCTCCGAAACCGGACGGCGGATACGGGTGGCTCATAGTGTTCGCCTCGTTTTTGGTCAGTGCTTTGCATTTAAGCATTGCTTTATTTTATGGTAACACCTCTCTCTCTCTCTCTGTCTGTCTGTCTCTCTCTCTCTCTCTCTCTCTCTCTCTCTCTCTCTCTCTCTCTCTCTCTCTCTCTTTCTCTCTCTCTCTCTCTCTCTCTCTCTCTCTCTCTCTCTCTCTCTCTCTCCCTCTGTATATATATATATATATATATATATATATATATATATATATATATATATATATATATATAATATCGTGCTTCTTTATTTCATTATCAATCGTCACCTGTTGAGCTGTGAATGTGCATTGTGAATACTTCAGGCCCACATTAAAGCAGCATAAAACAAAGCTCATTCCTAGCAGCGCATGAGTATGTGTATCGTTTAATGTCAGGTCTAATTTAGTCACCGTGAGTCTGATTTTCAGGCCCATGTCACCATCTACGGCGTTTCGTGGTCGGTCGGAGTGTTTAACATCATTTTCCTAGAAGAATTCCAGCAATCAAAAAGTACGACAGCATGGGTCGGCTCTTCATTAAACGCTCTTATGTACACATCGGGTAAGTATCGTGCGAGTAAGTAAGCTGTACCTGTTATAAACTTATAAATATACGGCGTGTTTTGGTGTCATGTTACTTTTCTGTATTTACTGCAATAATTATTTTCTAGGGTTAGTTACATATTACTTATCCCACTCTGACGTTGCTAGATGAGTTCTGCCCTGCGCGCCGAGTCTAAGACTGCCCCCTCCCCCCCCCCCTCCTTCTCAGGAATCGTCTCGTCGGCACTGGTGCGTCGGCACGGCTGTCGACGGGTGCTGATCGCCGGAGGGGTGCTGGCCGCCGTCGGTATCGCACTGTCGGCGCTGGCCCACCGCCTCTTCGTGCTCTATTTTACCTTCTCGCTGCTCGGAGGTGAGGACAGGCGGTGCGGCGGCCCCCTCTCTGTGCGGCAGGTGACGACGGACCAATCCTGTACATTCACTGGGCTAGTAAGGAGGCAGGCCACGCCGTCCCGATCTGGCGCGAGCCGGGAACAGCCGAGCCGGCGGTGCCGGAAACGGTGCAGTGCAGTGACTCACAGTGAGGAGTCACCAATCACCTCAATGGCCCGTCAAATCAGACAGCCATTACGGGCAGCCGAGCGGTGCCGACGACCTGCGGGCACCGCTCACAGGGAGCACACAGGGATCACACGGGGAGCTGACGGCCCTCCGTCCCACCGTCCCGTATCCCTCCATCCCACCGTCCCGTATCCCGCCGTCCCGTATCCCGCCGTCCCACCGTCCCGTATCCCGCCGTCCCACCGTCCCGTATCCCGCCATCCCACCGTCCCGTATCCCACCGTCCCGTATCCCGCCGTCCCGTATCCCGCCGTCCCACCGTCCCGTATCCCGCCGTCCCACCGTCCCGTATCCCGCCGTCCCACCGTCCCGTATCCCTCCGTCCCACCGTCCCGTATCCCGCCGTCCCACCGTCCCCATCTCCTCACCATGGCCGGTCCCAGCGCGCCATTCAAAGTCGGCATATCGCTGGTGTGTGTACACTCACCTACTAAGTGATGTTCGCCCCCCGACGGCCCAGCGTTTGACTGGTGCGGTAGACTGCGCCGCCTCACACCCAGGTTCAGCGGTACAGTATATCCCTCTGGCCTCACGCTCGGCACAGACGCATTGGGCTGGGTCAGGGACGCGCCGCGCTGCGCTGGCCGCCTTACCACTCATTACGGAGCGAGCGAAGCGAGCGAAGTCTTACGTAGAATAACGGACATTTCTGAGTATGAGCGGCCGGCCGGCCGTGGTCACGCTTTTGCGATGCTTATATCTCAGCAACCACTTGACCGATTTACATGCGGTAATTTTTGTAGGGTAGTTTCATTCCTTCTTCCAAGTATTGGACTATTTCCGATGCATGTGGGTGACCCCTTATGCACGTGCCACGTGCAAAACGAAGAGGTGTCAGTTTTGTAACAATTGCAATATCTCGGTAACTACTGGGCCGATTACGCTGAAACTTGGCATGTAGGTAGGCACCCACTAGGCAATGCATTTGCATGTGCCACAGTTGGAGTGCTGCTGCACGTGCGCACGTGCAGGGGTCGATTCCAGATCTCGAGAACGGCTGGACCGATTGCGCTCAATTTTGGTACGCGGTTAGGGACCGGTTAGCAGGGTGCCGTGCAAAAGTCAGTTGGGGCCCATTTTGCACGTCCGCACGTGCAGGGTGCCGCTTCCAGATCTCCAGAACGGCTGGGCCGATTGTGCTCAAATTTGGCACATCGCTAGAGACCGGTTAGTAGGGTGCTGTGCACAAGTCAGTTGGAGATACCCCTCGCGATTTCGCACGTGCAAGGCCCACCCTCTCGCTCGCTCCGTTAGTCGCCCCAAAAGGCGTTATGCTGGTTTTATTTTTTATAGGTGGAATGCGTTGGCGGTTGAACCAGCGCGGCTCGTAGGAAAGTCATTTCATCCACCAAAGAAACGAAATATAGCGTTCGAAAGCTGACGGTGAGCTGATTCCAAAACAGTATTTTATATAGAAATCGTTCGATGGCCTTTTTAAGAAATTGCGTTTTGTAAAATCGTAAAAATCTTTTATTTCATTCAACGAGCTGTCCAGGACAATTTTTAAATCATAGTCATGTTTTTTTTCGATTACCAGTGAAAGCTGAATGCCAAAAGAACAATATGTAGCGAAAAAAGTATTCTGAAATATTAAGATGTGTCTCTCACAGCCGGCAACAAGGCGCAATCACACAACTCAGTGTCACGACGGATCAAAGTAAGCCACACAAAGGCGTCAAATGACCCTTATCGACCCGCAGACCCGGCGCTCTCAGCTGTCTGACGGGCCACAGAAGAGACGTTCGGCTGTCGCCCTACTAAACAGACGTCATTTTTGTTAGTTTAACAATTCAAGTCGGTACTTAAGCAATTCAGGATACCTGAGAGGAAGTTTCATTGCTCTGTCATTTTCACATCATGTATGAATTTGCATTTGTTTTTGTCTACTTTGCTCAACTCAGCTAGGCATTATGCCCATACAAGAAGAGTTGGCCGCGCTGAGCTGTCAGAGGCTGTATCGGCTTCAACTGGTCAGAAGTGGGGGTAGCGCCCGGCTGGGCGGGGTAACCTTCGACCGGTCGCAGGGCCAAACAGTTGTCACTGGTACAACCTCTGACAGTGAAACCCCTCTAACTTTCCCCGCGCGGGCATTGAGCGCAGCGGGACGGAGCAAAACCTGTATAAGAAAATGTAAGTTAAAGCATCTTGTAGGTCAATCTAGCAGAAGAATGAACTTTCTTCACCGGTATCCTGAAAAACTTTGATAGTGATATGGATCGTTAAACAAACAAATATGACACTTGTTTAGTAGGACGAGACTCGAACGTATTCCATGGCCGGTCAGGCGGACCTAGCGCACAGTGATGCTAATGGGGTTGACGAGTGGCTATAAATACCAAAAAGTCAAGTTTACCAAACCGAGTAAATCACTATATGGCTAACCAAATAAATGTCGCATCTGAATCACATAGTTTTCATAGTTTTGTCAAAACCGGCCTCGTGTATGATTGTCAGAACTCGTGACATTTTCTATGTCGTAAAATGACTGTCAGATACTTGCAAGCTCAAACGCCGCTAGCGTGCGTTCATTTAATACAAACTGCAAAAATTATGCATCACAATGATTCCTAAAGCCTGCTGCTTCTCATGCGGGGTCACAAAAAGCCGCATCTGTTTTGGTTTGGCGGTCATCGAATCATTTGTCATCATATTGCAATCGCAGTTTTTTACTAAAAAATATTTGCTTTCGTTTCACCTACAGCAGTCTACACAGTGTGTGCCCGTTAGTGCACCATACCATAGCATTTCCTAACCATTTCTGAGTCACACCGTGAAAGAATTAAGGCGCTAGCACAGGGCAGACCGACGCTATTGAAGTTTTTGTCCGTTGCGGTCGGGTGTCGCAGTCGGGGTGGATTGCTTTCGCCGCGGATTGCAATTTCGACAGACGTTTAACTTTGACCTGCTATAAGTAGGTAAAATATTGACCTTAACTCAAAAGTAATATGCTCACTCGCGAGATCTTGTCAAGAGCAATCCGTCGGTTTTTGTCGCGAGGCGCTAGGACACTTCGTTTAGGAACAGCAGAGGGATGCACCGACGAAACCCCGCTGTGGCCGCCCGCCCGCGGCGCGGCCGCCCGGGCCGACCACCGCGCCGCGGCACCCGACCGCAACGGACGAAAACTTTAGTAGCGCCGGTCAGCCCTGTGCTAGCGCCTTCATTCTTTCACAGTACGGCTCAGAAATGATTAGGGAATGCTATGGTATGGTGCACTAACGGGCTCACACTGTGTAAACACCTGTAGGTGAAACGAAAGCAAATATTTCTAAATAAAAAACTGCGATTGCAATATGATGACAAATAGTTAGATCAACGCCAAACCAAAAGAGATACGGCTTTTTGTGACCCTGCATTAAAAGCAGAAGACTTTGTGGATCATTGACATATATATTTTTTTGCCATTTGTATGAAATGAACGCAAGCTAGCGGCGTTTGAAGTTGCGAGTATCTGACAGTCATTTTACGACATAGAAAATGTCACGACTTCTGACAATCAGACACGAGGCCGGCTTTGACAAAAACATGAAGATCGTGTTTTTCAGACACTCCAAACATTTGCCTGACTGGCCATTTTACGATTTATTCGATAAGGTGAACTTGAAATTTGGGCCTTTTCGGTATTTATGGCCACTCGTGAGTCGTGAACCCCATTTGCATCATTGTGTAGCGGTGAGTCGGCGAGTCGATAAGGGTCATTTCACGCCGTCTGTGTGGATGACTTTGATCCATCGTGACGCTCAGTTGTGTGATTGCGCCCTGTTGCCGGCTGTGAGAAGCGCATATTAATATTTGAGGATATTTTATTGCTACATATTGTTTCTTTGGCATTCAGCTTTCACTGGAAAACGAAACAAACATGCATATGCTTTTAAGAATGTCCTGGACAGCTGGTTGAATAAAGATTTATTACGTTTTTACAAAAACACAATTTTTGAAAAAGGCCATCAAACGATTTCGATAAAAACACATTTGTGGCATCGGCCCACCGTCAGCTTTCGAATGGTATATGTCGTTTCTTTTGTGAATGATTTGACTTTCCGACGAACCGTGCCAGAGCGATGCCATGCCGTTCATCTCATCCGGATAGGCTACAAAACTGCCTGTGCAGCTTCAAAACACGGCATACTTCTGCCTTGCCCTCAGAATCTCTGAACATCTGAACCACTCTCATACTTATTCGAAATTTCCTTCCTAATTTTTCTTCTCCCTTTCTTATGGTATGCCTAATACGAGGCTCATTATAACTATGTTATGAAGAATATGGAATACCTTGACGGCTAGATTGGGCTGTGGTCCATGTCGGCACTTTGCAGCCCATTCATGGCAATATTTCACATTAATATTATCAGAATATTATCTCTATATTCTCAAAAACCCTCCGTGGTGGTCCGTTAGCGAACCCTACCTGTGGCCTTGACACAATGGTCGAAATATCTGGCCGTTGACATTGGTCTTGAGAGAGAGAGTGAGAGAAACGGTCACGAACAGCTCCTTGGTTCTGTCAGATGCTGGGATTCGCTGACCACCGGCGCCACGCAACCACTGCACTCAGCTGTTTTCTCCGAAGCGCCAGTGAACGACCTCGCGACCTTCGTTCTCCCCTGCCCATAGCCAAGCTGTGGCTGAACAAATCCGTCAGCGCTTGAAAGGACTGCGCGGCAATGGAAAACAACCCCTATCCCGCTAAAAAAAGAGTGAGAAAAGCAACAAACCCAAAGTCTGCTCTCACTTCTGTGTTGGCCCGTCTCTTGTGTCCTGATTATTTATTTAATTGCTTATAAAACGCAT